TTTATTGAACAATCATTTGTTTCATTGAAGAACAAAAACATGAATGTTGAGTTAAATATGACTTCTATAAATCATGTGTGCATGTGATGGAGGAATGCACAGTGCCTGTAGGGGGTGTGGTCTCAATAGCCATGCAGTAAGCAGCGTGCTATGTGCATGTGATGAAGGAATGGCATGGATATTCAAGTGTACTTGAATGGCATCTGTTTGTTTTATTCAAGATTATGCTAAAATATACTTTCCCCAACTATATTTAAGTTCCCTATGAAGAGCCAACCTTCAATTTTGAAAATTCAGTTTATTCCCATGGAAAGTTTCCATCTTTGAAAATTCCCGGTATTTTGCAACCCTAATGAAGGCTGAACCCTCCCTCCTCTCAAGGCTTCAAGGCTTTTATTGTCATGTGTGCATAGCTACAGTGTTATGACAATGAAAATCTGAGGTCACAGTCTCCTCCTACAGCGCAACACAATACAAATAGATAAAATAGTGCTGTGTCTCTGCTGCTGACTGGGAGCACAGAGAGGGGAAAGATGGTCCAGGGAATCCATTTCTGTCCGTCATGCACTCATTGACCCGTTGTTTCAGCCGGCAGTCGATGGGAAAGAAGAGGAGGAGGGGGAGGAGGAGGAAGAGGAGGAGGAAGAGGAGGGGGATTTGTGGGCATGATATAGCAGAATCCAGCAGGGAAGTCCTAAATCACGGCGATTAAAGGCGGAAAAAAGAGGCACGTCAGAGGCTTTGCACGTCATTGAGTCAGCAGACGAGGGTCATTTTGAGGAGAGCGTGGTGACGTAACTGAGCTGCAGGGTGGGGGGATAGAGGAGGGGGTTTCTGACTATGTATAGTAATAATAGGATTTGTTGCATCAGGCATTATCAGCGAATCAAAAGACGGACTTCAAACCATGTGTTCATTAGAAGGGGAAAATTAGTTTTAAGTGTGCAAAAGTAGATTTTAGTTCATTTTTATTACTGTGACAACGAAATGGGAGCGAGCTAGTTCAGGCAGTCAACTCGAGCACTTCGCTGCATTCATACATAACGCCCCTTGCCACTCTACAACCAACCAAACAGACTCTCCGTAATATGCCGCTCTATTTAACCTGCCAGATATCTCTCTATGCATTGCTTGCTGCTGCTATTGCTCCAGCTTCCACCCCACCAGCACCCCAGCTTCCACCCCACCACTTCCCCAGCTTCCACCCCAGCTTCCACCCCACCACTTCCCCAGCTTCCACCCCACCACTTCCCCAGCTTCCACCCCAGCTTCCACCTGTAGGCTCGGGGGTTAGTTACTTAATCATCACTCATCGTGCTATGTATATCTGTGGAGTGATGATGCCCGAGCCTAGACGCCCACCTCAACTATATGCTGCTTCTAAACATGTTAAAGAAACCCGTGAGTTGTCTGACTGAAATGCAGTTGGCATCTGACCAAAAATTGTAATATGACAGATAGGAGAAGCCAAATTGTATATAGCATGAACAGTTTTAATAAGAATATAAAGTCGTTTATTTTTGATTTTCTGAATACAGTGGTTGTAGAGGTAAAGACAGTTTAATACACTTTGAAACTAAAGACAACTCACTACCATTTCAATATAATAAAAGTGTATCAATCAATATCTTGAAAATCCACCTGTTTCAACCGAACTTTGGCCAAAAATACAACAACAAAAAACCCCTCTGTTCTGTGTGTAGCACTGACTGTAGCTTAGCTTATGGATCTGCAGGATTCTCACTTTCTGAGATATTCTCTTCATGGTTTATTGCATTATTGTAAGTTGCTTTGGACAAAAGCATCAGATGAATGTCAGTAATCGTTGAAGCGAACATGTGGTTGGCTGTAGAGGGAGAGCAGAGTGTTGCAGCAGATAACAAACGGTCATCCTGAGAGAGTGTGCGGAGCTGTTGAGAGATGCTGCTGCAGCTCTATCTGATGCCCTTCGTCTGATGCAGGGAGCGGGATGATGACATCACCGTGTGGTCGCCTCGCTCCTCTGCACGTACACCTCTGGGTGCCGTGGCAACGCGCACGACGAACAAACTGACTGTGAGCAGCAGGGAGGAGGAGGGAGAGAATCATGCAGCTTTCTGCTTTCTGCGCACCCCCTCCTCTCTTTCCCACATTGCTGTGCAGGAGAAGCCCCCTCCTCTCTCACCCATCCCTCCCCTCTTTCCTCTCCCTCAGCTCGGCCAATCAGGCGTGTCGGTGGGGGCAGGGCAAAGCAAAAGCACCATTCCTGTGTTTCTGCTGCATCTCCCCAGAGCTAACAGGGAGCTAGCAGATCAGAGGGAGGAGACACGCTCAGACCAGCCTCTGTGTGTGTTCGTGGGGTTTTATGTGTGTTAGTGTGTGAGTGAGTGTGCCCTTCGCAGACTAGCAGGCACGGCCACAGTGCTGCAATCCTTTTTCACCAGGCTTCTTCTCGTTAACCTTGCCTTGCTCAGCTTCCGGCCTGCTTCTTCTTCCTCTGTTCAGCGAGGGGGGAGACAGAAACCCGTTCACTCTGAAAACACTTCGCAGTGTGTGTGACAGCTCCAGGCAGGATGATAGCCGCTCAGCTTCTGGCCTACTACTTCACCGAGTTGAAGGATGATCAACTCAAAAAGGTGTGTAAACTGTGTGCAAGGCTTCTGTGTGTGTGTGTGTGTGTGTGTGTGTGTGTGCGTGTGTGCGTGGGTGTGTGTGTGTTGGACTGCAGAGCTGTTATCCTATTTTATTTGTATTTACTTGCATTATTTTAACTATTCTATCTGTTTTATTATGTTGCACTGTTCGAGGAGCGTGTGACCTAAGATTGTGAAGAAGTGTTATTTGGATTTGCTCTAGCTGTGTTTGACATGAATGTCCTTGAGAAAAGGGCTGTAGTGAGTGTCCGTATTGATGAGGCTGCTCACAGACCTTCGTTAGAGTAATGGTTTCCGGAGCGTCAGTTGCTGGGGGAAGCAGACAGGTGTCTTTGAGGAAGAAAAAAAGGCGTGAGCTCTAAGATCTCCTCCTCCCTTTTTGGCTCCTGGATCCTCTCATGCCCCTTTCACAAAAACGCAGCTCCCGTTCTAGCTCCGTGCTTGCACTTTTCTGGTTCAGAACCGGTTTCTTTTTTTTTCATTGTTTATTAATGTGTTTTAGTGGCATCTACCGACCGCTGTAAAGCCTTCACTGTCTGACTGTCACACAAGCAGCTGATACATACACCCCCCATAAGGGAATGTGTTTCATTCTGAATTGACGCTGTTTGGCATCACACAACGCTGTTATGAACGTTTCTCTGGTATAAAATTGTTGATGTTAGCATAGCAACCGAAGCTAAACTGACTATCTTGACTACTTGTTGCTATCCTATTGTGGCATAAGCCGTTTTCTACAGGCACATTTTACCGGCGTATTTTTCATTATGATTCTACTTGTGATAGTCGGACATGGAAACCGGTTCAGCTCATGGATTGATTCCATCCGATAGCTGCTATAATACAAAACAAAACGTCTGCCTGCTCTCCACAATGATCAATAACAGCGAACGGATGGTCAAAGTAAGGTACAAATCACACTAAGCCTGGTTAGTGTTGCCTGACTTTATAAAGTGTGTTTTTTCTATAAGTGTGTGGTTGCCTTCTAGTCACTTTGCTCAGCGCTACTGCTTGTTACAACTTGTATTTGCCTACTCGCCATAAAAGGTTAATCTCGCCCCCCTCCGACGTAAGCTTGACGCATGCGGTTCTTGCTTTTAGACCGACAATTTGTTCGAGCTTGATAAGAACTGGTTTTCGTGGAAAAGAGCCGGCTCTGCTGCGGTGTGAACAGGAAAAACTGGTGCTTATCAGGCTCTATCTCCGAACCGCGTTGGTGTGAAAGGCGGGGCATCACTGAGCCTTTACTATTTCACTCCCTTTCTCAACCCCTCTTTTCTCTGTTATCTCACACACTCTCTTATTACCTTTGGCAAAGAAGACATAAACTCATCGGCTCGTGAAATCTGAGCTGGAATAACGCCTCATTTACAGAAAGTGACCTTGAATTTAGGAGATATTAGCCAGTGCATTGGATGACAGATGGGTGACATGTTCTCAGGGAGTGGGGCATGGTGGGGAAGTTAGATGAAAAGGAGGCTGAGTGGGAGATCTATAATGCGTGATGTCACAGTGCAGTAGACGCACGAGCCTCTGCAGAAGTAGGTTAGTGGAGTTAAAAACATAGTCTCTAGTGGGGTGACTCAGGATGCTTCAAAGGATAAAATCTAACGATGAATATGTGGTAGGCTGCATATAAAGAAATGTATAGTTTAGCAGAAGCTTGATTAGCTTTCTGTCCGCTATAGTGTGGAAAAAGTACAGAAAATTAGAATAACTGCCTCACAGTTTTGGGCCGCTGCCAACCAATAACGTCACAATTTACAACCATGCCGTAACAAAATGTCATCACCTTTTAAACACTGAAACTGTCATCATTTATTGAACTACTTCTTGATCAAGAACATTTTGACCGGGTCACAGTGACCTTGACCATGAACACCAGATCCTTATCAGTCAGTTATTATCCCTTAATTTGTTCCTGACATTTCACTTTCACCACAAAGGAGCGTTCCTGAGGTCACAGTGATCTTTGACCCCCCCCCCAATATCTAATCAGTTTATCCTTAAAGGGGCCCTCATATGCTTGTGTAGTTTTCTCTTTCCTGTAGTGTGTTATATAGGTTTGTGTGCATGTAAATGGTCTGCAGAGGCTAAAATCCCTGCGTTCCTCCAGAGGGGGTTCCTCTCCTACACACTCCCCCCCCACGCCTCCATTGGACTCCTTTGTTTACTTCATGAACAAAGTGACATCACTAAGTAATACACAAGCTTCTATCGGCGAGAGCTCCACCAACAGTTTGTTCTTGATAAACTAAGGGGCGGGACATCTCTAAGCTGTTGACCAATCACAACAGAGCTGACCAGCTAACCAATCAGAGCAGACTGGGCTCTGGTTTCAGACAGAGGGTGAAAAGAGGCCGTTATGAAATATTGTGAATTCAGAATCGGAAAGACAGACGACAGACGGCCATAAAACATGACGGCTTTGGCCTCATCTGCGCAGACATTAAAAGACGGTGAAAAGGGAAGATATTATTTGGATTAGTTTCAAAATCAGTTCATCCTTGGCCTTTCCTTAACGCTTCTCCCTTTATAAGAAATGGGCCAGTAGCTGAGCCAAAATACATAGTACCGGTAATAGTAATGATCATCTTATTTAAATATACTTATATTTGAACCCATGCTACTCTTCTTCACAAAGTCATGTTGAGCAGCCAAGCACTGTATCTCCAAAGTATCACGAGAACATAAACACCCCAGGCTAAATTTAAGGTGCAATGAAACAATTACACTTGATGTAATACTGCTGCTTTAATAACATGGCACTCACACTATGGGAATCATACAGCTCTGATTACATGTTGGAAGAAGCAGATGCAGGATTGATGTGATACTGGCTTTTCAACGAAAGAAAGTGAGGAGTTGAAGAAGGGGAACACATAGACATGGATGAGAAAATGGAGCTCCTGGAGGGACATGCCATTAAACCGCAACATCCTGTTTTTTTTTCTTGGGACCTTTCTCACATGTCGAACCCCCACAACCTCCTCTTTCTCCCATGTCTACACAATCCTCTACCAAACGATGGTATCTGTCCAAATGTCTGTCTTGAGATACAGCCTCACAAGCTCGACAGCGACAGGATTTGTCTCCCACAAGCTCCTGTTAATACTGTCTTCACCAGTCTTCAAACGTCACATTGCATTGGTTGCTTTCAGAGGCTTAATGAAAGCAATGCCACCATGAGGGGCCTGATGAGAAGAGAATGTGTGGAGCGTGGTTTTGGCACAGAGCGGATCTCTGCCTGATGGCATGCAGTGTGTGATTATGTAACAACAACAGTGGTTGTGCAGGGCAAACCCCCCCCCTAAGAAACCTTTCATTAATTAGATGCTTACGGTAAACTGCAATTTAACCACATGCAATGCTGTCTTTATTACACTCTAAGACGTACCGAACATCTTGTGTTTTATTTCATTTAGCCTCTTTTGTCTCATGTTAACATGTTTCGTCATCAGTGTCCTGGTTTCTGCTCCCTCGTGTGCTAATTTGTTTAAAGTGAATCAATCTACTGTTTTTTTTTCTACCACTCAACCTCACAACCCAACATATCTCTCATGAAATTATTTAAGTAAGATGTTCCTATACCCGGGAGATAATGAATGATGTGGTAGGTCCACTGTTTTCTACATGAGGTCACCTCGCTGTGCGTTATTGCTTATATCATGATGACGAATGTAAGAAAGGTAGTGTTTAAATGGTCAGCTGAAGTTAACATCTTTAGGGGAAGCTAAAGTAAAGTCACTTTATCATCGTTGTTGTTATAGTTGAGAGATTTCTGTGTGTATGGCAGCTTGGGGGTGTTACGTGGATTGTGTACGTGTTGTATTTGAGGCATATTTTTATATTATAAAAGGGCCCCAGGATATCTACTTTGTCAACTTTTTACAAATAGTACTACTTGGTACAGCAAGCAGCCCAAATGTTTGGGTCCCTGTGCGCAGGAGCTGGTTCGAATCCAGTTTGGGCCGCGTGTTATCGATCTTTTACTTCAATAAAGGCACTGGTGGTAGCCCAAAAAGATCTTTAAAAAAAACAATTTTAAACAGATAAACTTTTGCTATAAATTTAAACAAGAAGTGATCATTATTTTTTCTTGCGAAGAACGAAGCACAGAACAATCCATATTAGTTTTTGACAATTAGATGAAATAACCCCTTAATAAAAACATTTTGAAAGAAATCAAAATGAAGGACAGAAGAAGGGATGACAAATTAAGAAACTACCGTTTTGACCCAAATATAACACAGGTTTTTGGTCCTAGAAAACAATCTGAAAAAGAGGGGTCGTCTTATAATCGGGTCAATGCCGTCATCTGAGTCCTCCCTGACCCCCTGTGTCTGTTCCTCAGATTGATACGTACCTGTACTCCATGCAGTTTTGACAATTAGATTAAATAACCCCTTACTAAGGCTTAAACACATTTAGAAAGATATCACAATTAAGGACAGCAGGAAGGATACTAAATGAATGAACACTTGTTTGTAATAGTCTGAACCCTCCCTGACCCCCTGTGTTTGTTCCTCAGATTGATAAGTACCTGTACTCCATGCGGTTCTCCGATGACACGGTGAAGGACATCATGAACCGGTTCAGGAGGGAGATGGAGAACGGGCTCGGCCGGGACACCAGCCCCACCGCCACCGTGAAGATGCTGCCCACCTTCGTACGCTCCATCCCTGACGGATCAGGTACACAAACACACCACATATTTGGACCGCTCGGGTCAGAAGAATTTCATTGCCATTTCTACACTGTAGCTTTGACAATAAAACCTGTGAATGAATAACACACACATATACCAAAAACAATGTTTCATTATGATGCCCAAAATAATCTAAAAACAAAGATGGATTCTCTCATAAACAACGGGACTAAAATGGTTTAATCCTTAAAATGCTTTGGTGGAAAAAGGGCCAAGATCAGTTCCATACTTTTTCCGGTTGCAATGTATTTAAAATAACGACCTGAGGGAAAAATGTAGGATCATAAGTTGTACTAAGTTGTGCATCTCAAAGAAAAACCTTGACAAATTATAGTAAAAAGAACTTGATCTGAGGCCGCTAACTACTCTAGGTCATGTTCTCTTTGTAATATTAAACTAGAAGTTAAACATTAGTTAAATATTGAACATCACTTCCTGGTGTCCTGCAGCTGAAGGAAACTCTGATGTGTTTCTTGGCAGGATCACTTTATTGATTCAGCAAACAATGTGTACGAAGTAAACAAAACTATTGTGTTTCAATATTTAACAAAATTGTAAGCAAATAGTGTTGAAATTGAATACACCAAGATGACAAGGGAACGATGAATGAGATTCATAAGTGTAGTAAGAAACACAAGTATTAAAGTAATACTGTATTGTTTTAAGAAGATATTAAAGTCTTGATTTCAAATTGTACTATTTACAAATAGATACTGGTTTCTTTCTAGTGTCTTAATAATACAGTATTTAAAAGACAAAAAACTAGTTAGAAAATAATTTCATTAACCAAATGACTATAACATACAACATGCGTTAGAGAAGTGTTGCATATTCATAGTATTTACGGCTATTTTACTCTTAATAATAATAATAATAATAACAGTGTGGATGTCACTATTTAGCACACAAGTTGTTAAGAGGACAAAACCATTCACATTAAAGCATAATTAATACTACATAAACTGTTGCTGTTTGTGTGTCTCTGTTGCAGAGGCCTAAAGTAACTAAGTACATTTACTCAAGTACTGAACTTAAGTACAGTTTTGAGGTAT